ATAATCAAAGTACTGAAGTACTGAACATCGGATGACCACAAGTTCTTGAGGATGGTCAAAAGCACTTGTCTCAGAAAAAACAACATATCTCTTTACCTGAAACTGAGGTTAATGTACAGATATATATTTTTTTCTGAGACAAGTTCGTGCGTGGATGATGAATAAATGACAGGAAATTCAACTTCATCGTAATAACTATTATATTGTAGTGATACAAATCAGTAAACACTGATTTGTTGTTATATATTATATTAAAATAACAGTTACATATATATATGACTTGCATCCATTTGTATATCATTCTATTCTCCTATTCTAATAATAGTGCAATGCAAGTGCATGGTGGACACTTTTCTGTAAAAATTCGATTTTTCTAAGATTGGATACCAGTAGGCATTCATATTTTCCCGCAAAAACAATTACAGAGTTACCGGTTCGTGCCGGTATTGTCGCAAAACGTTCTTTGCGATATTCTTCCGCATGCTTTAACACAATTTTCGGTACGTGTGCATTGATATTATCAATGATTTTTTTATTTATATATATATATATTTAACTACAAAACATTTTCATATTATTAATTTATGTTGTAAACAAAAATATTTTTATCAGTATTCATTGAAGAGATGTAATTATATCAAACGATAAGGAATGTTATTTTGCACTCGTTTATGTGCGCATATTTATCATGTTTATAGATCGGTTACAAACCCAAAACTAATTTACATAATGGAAATCTAGGCGATAGCAATACATCGGAATGACCTCAAGGTCATCGCGATGTAAAAATCGTACATTTGCTCCCAAATATATGAATTTAATATATATGAATTCAATATAAATGTATAAAGAAGAATGAATTTCCTATTTCATTAGTGAATGAAATGTTATGAAAAAATGGATTCTGTCTTGTTATTAGATATATATAGGCATATATTTTAGATTTTTTTTTAAAATTTCATGCTTATAGGTTTTTATATGTCTCTAACAGTGTTTATCAGGATTAAACACGTGTCACAATATGATCCAATCGCAGCTTACCGTCCAAAATTGGTGACATAAGTTGAATGGTTTTCTTCAAGATTTGCTTCCTATTTGAACATGTATTACACGGACACTTTGTATGTATACTTTTTAGGATCAATCGTGCATTGGTGAGTTGATAGGTATTTTATCTTTTGATTAGATTTGATTTTTTAATATATATATTTCTTGTCTTTTTTATTGAAATATAAACGTCAGTTCCAGCATTTCTTTACTTTCAGCATTGTCCAGAATACTATTCATGTCCATATATTGAAAAAAAATTACATTTACGGACCGACCATTAAGCTTCAAAAGGGGGGTATGTTTTTTCTGAGTAAGAAAATGATTTAGTTTTTCAACGATATAACCCAAATATTTTTTTTTTTCAAAATTAGCACTATTGTATACGGTATTCGGAAAATCAGGAATCAGAACATCAGTTTGTCATCTGTTTGACCACAAATTATTTTTTCTCATAAAAAAATATTTTTTTAGGAAAAAACCATTACCCCCATTTTGAAGTTAAATGGTCAATCCCTTAGTGTACTGGTATGAATAGTAATATACTGGAATTGTTTGAAAAAAATATAGTTATTGATGCCAACGTAAATATTTAAAAAAAAAAGACAGGAAATATGTCGGTGAAACAAATAGTTCAAATCTAATTGAAATTTAAAGTGCCCATGAACTCACTGATCATGCACGGGTGATCCTATTCATAAAAGTGTCCGTGTAACAACTAAAAAGTCTCCGTGTATCATCTAAAAAGTGTCCGTGTAACACCCGTTAATGTACTGTTTTTCTATAGCTCTGCTGGGGGCAAAGTCGTACAATTAGCCTTCTGCAAGTGTTTTTTAGCGTACTTTTTTTTATGTTTTTGGCGGTTTGTAAGTCTGTAAAAGTTCAATGATTAAGTTAATCATGACATTAAAAGACCACCTCACAAAAAGGGCTGTTCAAATCCCCTCGCACTTCGGGCTCGGGGATCTCAACATCCCTTTTTGTTCGAAGGTCTTTTAATATCAATATTAATTTATCACTGAACTTTTACTATTACTAACACAATGTTCAAAGATCTATAGTTACAGTGCAGTGTTGAATTGTTAACCTTTTAGAATAAGTGTATTTGAAGGATCATTGATAAGTTTACCTGATCGTATATAAATTTCCGGGCTCGGTAAACAACATCACAGTAAAATTTAAGATGTGCTATTCCGTCTGAAATAAGTTTTTTACAGATACAGCCAAACGTGTGAACGAAATATTTGTATCTATAAAAGAGTTTAGTGCAGGCTTAAGTAATTTGTGGTAACGAAATTCATGACAATGATTTACCGGTAATATATAGATTACGGTCATTGACATCCAAAACGTCACTACAGACACGGGCAAAACGAGCGAGTTTGGATATATAAACACCTTAAGACGTTAGTGTATTTCAATGTGTAACGTTGTTTTCAATGAATTAAATTCGCAAGTCAATTTAATTGGGCCTGAATGGAATAAACACGAAGATACATGCATTTAAATAAGCCTTTTAGGATAAAATATCAATTATGTATACATTATCTTCGAGAATTAACACAGATATGAAATAACATGTTCAAAACCTCCGATGTTCTATCTAAAGCAATTTTCATTTGTCTATTCTACTTTAATTTCTCAGCTAGAGTGAATAATAATATAGATTGATACAAAATCTTGCAAATCAGATCGATAATTAATTATTACAATATTTAGAAATGCTTAAAAATGCTTCTTTAACTTCGTATTAGATCTTGCCCTCGAACTGTTCTGATCTGAGTGCCAATGATCATTCTTATCTAGACGAAACGCGCGTCTTAAACCTTATATCTTTGACACTATTTAACGCTATAGAAATGGCAAAATTTATAATCAAGGAGTTTATGTTCCTTTCTTTCTTCAATATATAAATAAGTCCACATACCAATGATGTTCACCTACAGATTTAACCAGTTTCTTGCATTTTGGTTTTGGAACTCTTTACATGATACATCTTAACCAATTGACCCAAAATATTGATTTATCCATGGCTGCATCCGTAACAGAAACCCAAAGTCGGCTTTTCTGTATCTTGTCACCGAAGTTTTTTTTATTTAAATCCTTTAGACATGATTTGTCGTTTCAGAGTTTAAAGAATTTCGGATTTTATATTCTAATTATTTATACACCAAAATTAAAACAACGTCATTTGATATCCAAAGTTCAAAACAATCTAAATTTTAGGCTAGGTTTCAGAAAATTATATCACGAACGTCCCGAATCAGTGAATTATAGTGAAGAAAATTTCTCAATTACATTTTTTCAATCAGTTCCCTGATGTCCACTTTCCATATTTATTTTTTCAGATCAATGTCAAAAGCAATTGGGATATTATGTTCTCTCAAGGTGTGTAGCAGAAAAGTATATTGGAATTACCTCTTGGCCTCTATGATTTTATAAGGAAATTTACTAACAGATATACTATTTATGTCCACGGCTGCAACGCGACGTTGGGAAAAATAAATACCGATTGTCTATTCGTGCGTTTGTCTGTTCTTATAAGCACTTTAACTCGTAATATACTAGTCAGATTTTAAAGAACATTTAACCTTTAAGGTGGCACGGTTGTATTTCCTGGCCCATAGGGATAATGATAGCCTTTTTAGAATTTTCACCACTTTCTAACACTGCCCAAAATTCTACATACACAGATAACTGAAGAACTTTCATTATAATATTCAGAAATGAATTTGAATATGTATCATGACCGTTTACTGTTTTGCTATCTTTATAAACCTAAGACCATGAGTGCTTTTAGGTCTTTTATCATGCTGTGAATACAAAATTAAAAAAAATCTCAAAAATTCATTTTCACCTGTATGTAAAATTATTTCATATTTTTCTACAACGGATTCATCCCTCAGTTTGGGAAAGTATGTTCAATAGATACTGTATTGATTGTCCAATCACACTGTTCAGATACATTGACTTAAGTAGGGTACACAAAAGAGCAACCTAAATTCCGGGATTTAAATACTTCCGTGCCACCTTAACAGTTTTATTGAATTCAATGGAAAATTATTTTTGTATTCATGTAATAAGTATAAAATGAGAGAATATCCATTGCTTTTCAAAATAATATGGTTAAATCGAATATGTAAGTATAATAATGTTATGTTATATAAGAATGATTTTATCTTTGATACGATGGCTCCATTTCACCTGTAAACTATACGCGTCATTATTCGGTGTCGAGACTTGTTGAAAAGGTCTTTTACAAAGAACAGAAATGTACAAATAAATTGATTCTGGTTTACTTTTGCTGGGGAATAGGGCTATGCTGGTATCTTAATAAGGCAATGCCGACTAATCGGTGGTGTCCTGTAGTAATCATTGTCTGTCTTTCCGTTCGTCCGTCAACACTTTTAATAAGTGAAGATTGCCTCATCTGATTTCAATCATTTTTATGCGCAGTGATTTAAATTATGTCTTTATAGGGAAGGTTCATGTCGAACTTTGTAAACATTGGAAAAGATTATGTTAAAACTGTTCTTTATGGTTAAAAATATTGAGGAAAATCTGTTTTTACTAGCAATTCGATGAGAAATTATAATTGTGAAGTAATATGCTATACGAAATTGGTTTTGTGATGTCAAATTTACGGCATGTGAAGATTTTGGAAAAATGTGGTAAAAACTTCTTTTTTAAAGAATCACAAATTATGAGACACATCTTTATGTGCTAGCAAAATAAATGGCATCGAACTGAAGAGACATGAATTGTCAAAATGCGCATCTGTTGCAATAACATTGGTAGCATTTATATTATTAGACATGTCTTTATGACACAGGAAAATCTTAAGACAATATGTAACTAAAAATACTGACGAACGTTGTTAAAGTACCATTTATTTCCTGCTTGAATTATAATTGATTTTACACGAATTAGAAATATTTAAAAGATGGCCTTAACACGAAAGTTTACGCACACAATATTTTATAACTTCCATTTGATAAATGTTATATTTATATTGACAACTCCAGGTGAGTTTGTTTGAATTTATGACTTCAGGTTAATTTCCTAATTATCTTACTTTTAAATTACCATATTTTCTCTCGATAGCTTATATAAAATGTTAAAATTGTCACACTTCCTTTTTTATTTCTGCAGGGATATTATCATAAAACTTATCTTTTACTTTGATCCTTGAAGCCTGTTAAAGTCTTCTATATAATTTTTTATACTTAATGGACATGGATGAGCGGACAGATGCGGCTTTTAAAGTAATCAAATAAAACAAATTATGTAGAAATTTATTAACGATCTGGTCGAAGGGGTCTTACTTTGGTGATAATATTTAAAACAATATTAGTTATCTTGGTGTAATCAGGGGTGTACAGAATTTTCAACAACGGTGTAAAATTCCGTACACCCCTGATTACACCAAGATAACGAATTTATTTCTTATGAACAATTCCTTTACTCATTTTTAAACCGGGATGTAAAATTGAAAAATGCTAATGAAAAATTTCCAGTGTAACATTTTTTCAACGTTGATGTTGCCGCGTTGCTGCGTATTGTCAAATTTTTTTTTCTTTATTTTTGGGAAATTCAGAAAACAAATTTTGTTTTTTGCAATTTTCGGGAAAACAAATTTTTTTTAATTTTTTAAAATTTTTTTTTACAAATTTTTGTCCTCAAATTTATTTATTTTATATATATATATATATTTTTGACATTTTATTTATTTATTAATTTATTTTTTGACATTTTATTTTTGTTCTTTATTTTGGCAATTTTTTATTTTTTTAAATTTTTTTGGCAAAATTTTATTTATCCCGGGGTGAACAAGGGTGGGGTGTTATTTACACCGGGGTAATTAACCAATCAGATTGCAGTATTTTTGCTGCATAAGAAATAAAAATGTTTATTTTCTCTTAAATTGTGCATAATACATGAAGAGAAAGATATATAGTAAAATTGAGAATGGAAAAGGAGAATGTGTCAAAGAGACAACAACCCGACCAAAGAGTAAAAAACAGCCGAAGGCCACCAATGGGTCATCAATACAGCGCGAAAATCCCGCACCCATAGTTGGGCTTCAGCTGGCCCCTTAACAAAAAATTGTACTAGTTCAATGAAAATGGACGTCACACTAAACTCCAAAACATTTAACTGAACTATCTATAACTATAACTATACCTCTAGCCAATGTAGAATAAACAAACACACAGCAATACGCACAGTAAAACTCAGTTTCAAAGAAGTCCAAGTCCGATGTCAGAATAATTAACAAAAAAAAACTAAGCAAAATGACAATGATACATAAAGTTACAAAGGATTACTAGGAGTTACTGACATACCAGACCTCAATTAAACTGATTGAAAAATTATGAATTCATCATATAAAAATCAAGCACAATCCCTCCCGTTAGGGGTTTAGTATCATACCGTCATAAAATATATGAGAAGAATATAACGTATCATGCAAACAACTGGTTTTAGAATAAATGTGTTTAATTTCCGATGCAAAGACCCTATGAGTGAATCAATATTAATACCAAAATATGCCATCTTTAATGACCTGACAACAGTATCGTAACTATATCCGTTCTGAATAAGTCTGTTTAAAGGTATGGTTAGCTTTTGAGGTGAATGCCGACATTTTTGTGATTTGTATAGAATATTACCATAAGAGATTGGATGTGAAATACCTAAAAGTATAAGATGTTTGCATGTTCATTTATATTTACGAATGATGTCCCCGTTTCTTTCGTTCCATGCAGAGAAATACAAATATTGAGGTTAAAGAAGTGAATTTTGCAATTCCATGTATATATCTATGATTTCGCAAATTATGTGAGACATTAAACAAGTTCAATTTAAGGGTCACTCTATTCATCATTTTGCCGTGCATTTTGACATATATCTCCATTTATCTAGAACTGAAAATGTGACATGTCACAATAAAAGAAAATAGTGATATGTGTATCTATATAATTTCATACAAATAAAAAAAAAAGTAAACAGAAATCCTAACTATTATCTATCTGTCTGCAAGTGGTCCGTCATTGTACTGGATATTAGATACTATGAAGTCGAAACATGTTTTGCCCGAGTGGGTTAGACACAAAGATCATAGTTCCTGTTTCATGCAAGATGACTTATCTCCTGATGGCTTTGATGTTTACAGTTTACTCTCTAATTATCATTGTTTCTAAAAAAAAAAAAAAAGCAACGCAAAAACGAATTAAAATCGTCACGATATAAACTCCTAAAGGATCAATTGATGATTTAAACGTTTATTTAATTTATATATCTTATAATGCTGAACCTTTTTGCTGTTTTATCTATCCTAGTTTTTACATAATATGCAAGGGCAATACTCTTATACTGGGTCAATTGACGATTTCGGACATGTTGACTTAGTTATCAATTTTATTATGGGGAACATTTTTGCTGTTTGGAATTTCTCTCTATCAATCAAAGTGCATGCAAAAAATGCAAAAAATGAACAATCGGCTTTAAATGTCAATTACTCTTATAAAGGGTCAATGAACGATTTCGGCAATAATAACTAGTTTGTTGATCTTATCATGCTGAATAAGTTTGCTGTTTTTCTCTTTCTATCATAGTTTCTGCAAAAACGCAAGAATAAGTTTAAAACCGTCTTTCAACAGCTCCTTTTAAGTGGTCAATTGACAGTTTTTGGCATGATGACTTATCTGTAGATCTTATTGTGATGACCAATGTTGCGGTTTACAGTTTTCCTTTTTCCGTCACGGTTTCTGCAAATAATGAATAAAACTCGTCTTTCATTAGCAACAACTCTTATAGGGGATCATGGAATATTTATATGTATACCATTTCGTACCTCATGGCAGATTTGCTTGTATACCATTTCGTACCTCATGGAAGATTTATTAGTGTTTCATTTCTTGGTAATAACTGTCTCATTAATTTGCGCCATTTCGTACCTTATGGAAGATTTATATGTATACAATTGCGTACCTCATGGAGGATTTGTATGCATGCCATTTCCTACCTCATGGAAGATGTGTATGTATACCATTTCGTACCTCATGGAAGATTTGCATGTATACCATTCCGTACCTCATGGAAGATTTATTAGTGTTTCATTTCTTGGTAAAAACTGTCTCATTAATGTGCGCCATTTCGGATAGATTTGCATGTATACCATTCCGTACCTCATGGAAGATTTATTAGTGTTTCATTTCTTGGTAAAAAATGTCTCATTAATGTGCGCCATTTCGTACCTTATGGAAGATTTATATGTATACAATTTCGTACCTCATGGAAGATGTGTATGTATGTCATTTCGTACCCCATGGAACATTTGTATGTAAACCATTTCGTACCTCATAGAAGATTTGTATGTATACCATCTCGTATCTCATGGAAGGTTTGTATGTATGGCATTTTGTACATCGTGGAGGATTTATATGTGTTTTATTTCTTGGTTAAAACAGTCTCATTGACCTTCTACTGTAAGGCGGTAGAGGTCACGAAAAATGTCTAAAATTTAAAATTTAAGCACCTATTAGATATTATACACATAGGAATAAAGTCAATAAACGAAATTTTTTGAAATCTGTAAAACTTTGTATTTTAATAAGATGTTCGTTTCAAATATATTAGCTGGCGCTTTAGTAACAGTTCACTTTTCTGTCGATAACATTGATTTTGTTACTTTTTACACTTGTAACTTAGAATATAGCAAAGTGCTCTCGACCAATGAAAGTGTAGAATTTGGTGTTCCTCAATTGTGAAGAATGAATTTAAATTATGTTCTTAGTAAGGGATTATCCTTTTGGTTAGGCCTATCTACAGTTCAAAACAAAGAACTTATGTAAAATGAGTTACATCTGCCCGAAGCACATTTATTAGGATTATTGATTGAAAGTTGAATTTTGAAACAAACAAAAAATAATCAAAATAAGTTTGAAGTTTCCTTGTGCAGTACAATTGATACCGATTGTGTTATGTGAATATCTAGAACTTTCAAATTACAAAAAAAAACCAAGTTATATCAAAGCAATTGCTAAAGAGAAAATAAAGAAAAAACTTTTAAAATTAAATATATTACGCTTATCAAAACTCAGATTACTGTATTCGCAGTTAGTAAGAATAGTCATTTCCAATATACCGGTACATACAGGAAATTGGATTTACTTTTGATTTTCCTGTTAAAAGCATTTTCTTTGAACATTTTAATTTTAGTTTATTAAGTAGTATTTGATGTAAAGAGCTGGAATAAAATTGGTTGTAGAATACAAGTTAGTTTTATCTCTGATTTTGAATTTATTCAATTGAACTGTAAATAAACGATTAGATAATCCCTCACTAAAACACAATTTACACACATACTCACAATTAGGAAACTTATGCAATTTCTACCTTTTCATTGTAACGTTGTGTCATCTAATGTCTAAAACACGATTTAATTAAAAGTTTCCAAATTAAAAGTAAATTCCTTACATCACTAAGACCAATACATACATGAAATGCCTAAAAGGGAAGTCATCTATTAATTATAAACATTGCACTAACATCCCAGCTCCTTTGTTCTACCAGGGGTGATCTGACCAGATAACCACAGCTTAAGTTTCTTTGTTTTACATGCTTTCCTTTGTTTTGCAACATTTTGGCGGGAATGCCTAATCCACAATAAATCTTAGAAATATTCTTATAAAGGATAGAATAAAGTCATACTTTCAAAATTTATGTAGAAAAAATCCATTGTCTATGCTGGGATTCGAACTCAAGACCTTTAGCATATCAACCCAAGACACATACCCCTACACCAGGACGACTGGATACCAATTCTCAGTAATTTATTATATTTAAAGGTAGCAAAAAAGCAAGATATTTTCTTAAGTGGGTCGAGTTGGCAGACCTTTATTCAGTTGGATTTTAACTCTTTTCATAAATAAGGCGAGTTGTCAGACTGATTGTTCAATGGGATTTTACATTTTTTCATAAGTGGGGAGAGTTGGTAAACAAGAGTGGGGCAATTTTTTAG